CAAATTTACTAAAGATGTTATGAAAAGCAGGAACAACATAGCATATACAAATATAAGATGCGAGGCAGTATCAAATGAGATTAGAAAACGATTAGGTAAAACATGCAAATATGAAATTGGAGAAATCTTAATATGCAGACTTTACAAAAAGGACAAGGAAGGAAAACTGAATGTTAATATTAGGTGGAAGGTTGTTAATAACGAAGGATACAAGATAACAATACAAGATATTAAGGATGCAGAGAACATTAGAACACTTGACATTGATATTGTAGATAAGCATTTTAGATATGCCTACTGTGCTACCACTCATAGCAGACAGGGGACATCAATCAGTGATAATATGACCATTCACGAATGGAACAAAGATTATTTAGTTTGTAGGGAATGGTTGTGGACGAGTATCACACGAGCGAGGGATTTTAACAATGTCTATTTTTACAAGAACAAAGAGGGAGATGAAGATATGTTTAAGAGTTTGGTAATCAACTATTTTAAAAACAAAGTTGAAGGATATAAACAGCAAGATAGAGTAGCAAAAAGAGAAATAGACGAAGAGCAATACATTGACGAAAACTGGTGCTTAAAATACTTCAAATCCTGTTGCCAAAACTGCGGAATTAAATTTAATCTAGATACAAGAGGAGGAAAAATAAGTTCTAACTTCACTGCTCAACGTTGTGATAATGAGTTATGCCACACAGTTGAAAACTGCACCGCCTTTTGTGTCTATTGCAATTGCAGCGCGTCATGAATAATTTTGAAAATGAGTTTTTCAAAATTATTTTATTAACTTAATTAATGAGTTCAACACAAGAAATTATTAAGAGTGTATATTATGATAGAAGCGGTTATGGTTCAAAACAAACAACCCTCAAGGATGCTAAGCAAAAAGATAGTAGTATTACAATAAACGATATTAATGAATTCTTTAGTAAGAATGTAGAAGAAAAAAGAAAGATGAGAGGTGAAAATAGTTTTATTGCTCCGCATAGTTTCTGGGAATTTCAAGTTGATATGTTTTTCATTTCTAAAAATGATTTGGAAAATCAAACATTTAGAATTGGAATGATATGCATTGATATTTTTAGCAAATATATGCATATCGTGCCAATTAAATCCAAGACACCGCCAGACATTTTAGCAGGAATGATGGAGAATATCAATAAGATGGGTGGCAAACCGAAATTAATTTATACCGACGAGGAAGGCAGTTTTTTTAATCAATCAGTATTAGATTATTTGAAGGAGGAGAAAATTGAATTACATAGAACTAGAGGTCATCCAGCATTTGCGGAGCGTGGAATTCAGACTTTTAAAGATCAACTGTTTAAACGAGTTGAAGCGGACAAGAAAAATGGAAAGCAGAATATCCAATGGACGGATTATATTTTTGAAATATTATTAACTTACAATAATAAGATGGTGCATTCTGCCACCCGCTTTGTTCCAGCACAGGCAAGATTAAAAAAGAATGAATTTGAGGTAAAAATGAATATTACAATGCAAGCAAGAAATACTAGAAAATACCCTGAGTTGTCAGTGGGTAGTAATGTAAAAATAATGAGGAAGAAAGGCATAAGCGAAAAGGCACATACCAGTCATTGGTTAAAAGAAGTATTTAAAGTAAAATCAATTGATAGTAAATTAGGGCAATCTTACTTTCATTTGGAAGGAAAAACTAGTCCTTATTTGAGACACGAATTATTGAAAGTTTAATATTAAACGAAATACAGTTAAAGAAAAAACGCCTTATAATATTAGTGAAATGTTGTTTAACTATAACAAGTGCGAATGCTGTAAATGCAAAATGAATGATTTGAGTTTAACCTTGCATCATATACTACCAGCAAATGTATGTAATAAAATAAGTGAATATAATGTATACTGCAATCAATGCTGTATAACAAGAGACCTTGAAAAGTTTTTTTTTGAAGAACATAAGGATAAGGGATATACAAAGTTTCAATTACAGCTAAAATTCTTTATGCGACACCAAGCAAGATTTCCTATACACTTTTACCAGAAGATTTCCAGAAAGTCATATGAAAATGAAATTGATGAATTCTTTAGTAATATAGATTTAATTAGGAGGTTTGGAGGAATAAACGCAATTAAACCATACAAAGCATTTGTCAAAAAATACCGTTATTTGTTTGAATGGATTGACTGGCACTTATTAGACAAAGATAAAATAAGCGAAGTCTTGAACGAATTTAGAGCAACTAAATATAGTATATGGTATTACTACAACACTAAATATAAAGTATGTCTATTGTTGTATTTATTCTTTTGGGAATATATTTATTCAATAATAGGAAAAGACAATATCAAATATATATACATTGGTGATATAGATAAATATGTAGATTACATATTTGAAGACATATTGCCTGACCATTATTTTAATCCATAAACCTTACAATAAAAACATTGTAAGATTTATGATTTCAAAATGACTTGAAGAAATAATAACTTAATATATTATAGCGGAATGAGTGATACAGTCGGTATCAATGCTAAAAATATATTGAAAAACAAGTTTATGAGTTATAAATGTAAAGACTGTGAAATGCTCAAATTACCAATTGAACGGGGTTTTGCAAATGGTGTTTGTAATAATATTTGTCAATATATAATATGCAATAATTGCAATAGAATTATAAAAAAAATGATGATATGAATAACAAGGATATTGATATTATAAATAATGAAACTATTGATGATGATTTAGAAATATTTGTATTTATTGAAATGAATAATTTCTTAACTATAGAAGGATTTGATAATTTATTAGAATGTAACGACGAAGGATATAATAATGATTTTATTTTTAAGTATTATAGTATTGTAAAACAATTATACAATATGTCTTTTAATATTAAACGTTTAAAATATGTTGTATTGTTTGATTTTTTAAATGAGTTTTTAAATGATGAGTATAAAACTCACGAACTTAGATATACAATAAAACGTGCGATTGGAATAATGGGAATGTTTAGAAAACAAATAAAAAATAATTTTTATAATGAAACAACATGTGACAAAATAATAGAAAGAATTAAATTAATAATTTAGTTTTAGGCGAAATAGTCCTAAAGAAAAAACACCTTATATTAATAGTGAAGAAATGAACGGTATTGAAATCAATAAGTATATTAATAAGAAATGCTATGACTGCTGCCACTTTAAAAAAGAAAATATGGAAATGTATAAATTAAATTTACCTAATGGAATAATAAATAATATTATTGATTATGCTTTGGGTGAAGAAGATTTATGTGAAAATTGTAAAACCTGGAGAGATAACCAAGCTATAATCAAATGTTTGTTGAGATTAAAAGGAAGACATAATAGAAATGTAGAAGATGACATTTTGATATTTTTAACTGTAAATAAATTACCACCTTACGTTTATGTTAAACAGTTTCTTAAAATCAGTAAGAAAAAATATGAAATGATTTATGATATATTAAGGATGTTGTGTCATAGTCAAAAGAAAGGAGATGATATTAAAGAATATATCAAATTTTATATTGAAATTTATAAAAAGTTTAATGTTAAAAACACAGTGAGAGATATTAATATTATTTTTAAAATGATGTATGAAATAAATGAGATTTGTCAATTAAATTATTATCCTGAACTTAAATTATAAATTACACCATAAACCTTACAATAACAAAACATTGTAAGATTTATGATTTGGATTTATGGGGATTTTGGGATTTGGGATTTTGGGAAAATGTATTTTGGGAATTTGGGATTTTGGAAAAATATATTTTGGGAATTTAGAAAAATATGTACAAAATTTATGTATCAAATCTTGAGTTGAGGTTCTGTTATGAATTGATGAAAAAATATTATGTGAATTGGTCGGTTGAGGGGATTTTATCCAACTGGGGGGTCCTCTTGAATAGGTAGGCCGCCCCCCCCAACCCCCCCGCAATTTTTTAGACTTTTTGCCCCTGATTGAATCATCACTTTTTCGATCATCATGGGGGGGGCTGCCGCCCCCCCCAACCCCCCGCTATTTGTTGGACTTTTTGCCCCTAATTGAATCATCACTTTTTCGATTATCATGCGACCGCTCCTTTTTAGATTCTTTGCCCTTAATTTTTTGATCATCATGGGGGGGGCTGCCGCCCCCCCCAACCCCCCCCGCTATTTTTTAGACTTTTTGCCCCTGATTGAATCATAACTTTTTCGATCTACAGGGATTAGTTTGCCCGTATTTGAATCCTCACTTGTACCATGAGGCCTTGCCGTAGTGGAACTGTTCACCCCCCCGCTGCTTGTTTTATATTTTTTTGGCCCTAACTGCGTTTTAGGTGTTTTACAGGGATTAGTTTGCCCGTATTTGAATCCTCAGTTGTACCATGAGGCCTTGCCGCAGAGGAACTGACCCCCCCCCCCACTGTTTTTTTTTGGGTGTTTTGCTTTTTTTTAATATTTGTTTTGGCCCTTTTTGAATCATCACTTCTTCAATCATCATGGGGGGGCTGCCGTCGTCACTTTTTCAATCATCATGGGGGGGGGCTGCCGCCACGTTTTTACAGGGATTAGTTTGCCCGTATTTGAATCCTCACTTTTACCATGAGATGCGGGAAGCCAATTTGCTGGTGATGCTGGGGATGTTGGCTGGACATGCGGGGGATGTTGAAAACGATGCTGATGATGTTGACGGACTAGCGTAAAATACATACGTACATTTCGCGAGAAAATGCTGTAAATTACAGCATTTTAGTAGCCAGGACGGAAAACAACAAAAAAAAAAAAACAAAAAAAAATCCCAAATTAAATCTCGACCCATTGGCGTGCTCACTGTATGGAAAAGGAAAGGCAAGCTGCATCCTTGCCGCCTCCACGTGCTGGTATGCTAGGGACGCTGATGAAATGTTTCCAGAAGGAGACCCTGAGGTTTGTTGGATTCCTTGTGGCTTTTTGATTTAAATATCCAAAAGAGGGTCCTCCCCTTTGTGGACACCAGATGCATCCAGGCTCGAGCGGCTTATGCGGCCTGAGACTCAGACCGTGGAGACTACCAGCTGCTTTGGCGTTACTTCCCGGTTTCCCTTTGGTCTCCTTTTGGTTTCCTTTCAAATCAAGCCCTCGAAGGGTCAAAGCATCCGTCATTCGAAGGGATCCAAAGCGCACGCACCACAGGCCGTGCTGACCGACAGCAGGGCATCAAGCTTTCTCCAGGCGGGTCCGCAAAGTTCCCACAGCCGCATGTTCTGACCGCGGCACGCTTGTTGAAACGAGTCTAATAATTTGGAAGGGGCACCAGCAAAAAACAGTGACTGGTGAGATTTGGTGAACTCACTTGCGTGATATAGTTCGACATTTCGGCATTATTCACGTGACAACAGGGCAAGCAGAAGACGCTCCCATGTCCAGCCCCTTGTGTTGAAGGCCCGTTTGCAAGGGATTGTGGACTCCAGGAGGTCAGGGCCCAGATTTTTCCGAGTGCGGGTGTTTGAATGTGGGATGTTTGCCAATTGTATCTATTTGCTAGAGAGAAGGGCAGCGACCTTCGCGAGCGATTCGCCACACATTCGATGCTTTGTGGCTGGCAGGCAGACCTGAGGTCAGGTTGAAGCAACTTTTGGAGTCGGGTTCGAATGGGTAGCTGAAGGCCTTTGTGCTGGGCTTGGGCGCTGGACTCAGCAGGATTGCTTGGTCTTCTGAAGTGTATGGGGTCGGGCTGCCAAAGCACGGACTTGTGCAGATTGTCCATGTATTGTCCTGTGCAGAATTAGTACTGGGGTTGGAGCCATTTTGCATTCGATGCCAGCAAGTGTGTCGCCAGCCAAGACTTGTGTGCCCTCTTGCCCTGCCATGCCATGGAAAGAGGTTAGGTGTTGGACAAACACACAAGAGACATGCAGTTGTAGTCGATGTTGCTTGAGGATGTGTCCAGCAAAAGAACTGCATGGCTTGAGATGGTAGAAAATACACTGAAGTTGTCGCTGATATCAGGGTTTAGGATGGAGAAACTATGGACCTCCCGTTGTTTCCACACTTTCGGAAAGCTGGATAAAAGGCAAATATAGGCAAATGCTGTCTCAAGTGGTTGCTGATCTGCCTCATGCGGCCCTCAGCTGCATGGTTTCTGTTTTCTGTTGGGGTGACAGGTTCCTGCCGCCAAATACGTGCCAAGGGCTTGCTTGAACGATTTGTTCCTAAGACATCGGAGCCGTGGGATTTTCTTGTGTCACTGGCAACCCACAAGATGGGTCCCCGATTTGAAATCTGTTCGGTCCCGCGGCGCGCACGGGGTGCCCAGGACTTGCAAGACACTGTGCAAAGGACCGGCCTGAAGCCATCAGTCCCCGAGCTACACCTTTGGGGTCAAAGGCAATCCCGACTTGAGCGGTGTGATCTGCCAACAAGGAGTCGCGGATGAGGGCTTGATTGGCTCTCAGATCTTTTGTGATGTTCTGGTAGGAACGCCGATAGCTTGGACTTCAAGACACGAATCAATTCTAGTTTGCGGCTGGCTTCAGCTGTTTGTGTGACACGAAATGGTGTATTAATTTAGGTTAATCCATCAGAAACGGCCATCAGACAAGTTGGACGGGATCCCACGACTACAAAACGAGCCACGCCAAAGACATGAGTCGCAGCCATCAGATGAGGTTGGGACCATGTCATAGCAACTTTCGGCGACTCCTGCGTGATCAAACTCAAAAGAATTTCCGAGCAAAGGGTGCAGGTAGTTCTGCATGCGATAGACAAAAGTGCGAGAACATCGACTGCCGTGGGTGAATGAAGTGCCCGAGTTTGTTTTTGGAAGGAGTGCTCTGGTTTAGGTGGAGAATGACTGGTCTCCCAGAAAAAATCTCAATTTGAACTAACCTGCCAGGCAAATCATAAAGTGTAAAGGCACACTTGAGACGCTCAACTCCCCTTGAAAAGTGTTTAGTGTTTAAGCAAAGGTGTAGATGCTGACTTCGTGAAGCCAGCAACACGCCTTGACCGGTGTGGACAGTTTGGGCCGGTCCAGGAGCGTGTGCTCATCCACAGCCCCGCAGTCCCTGCTGCGTACCTGGAGGCATGGTCGAGAGATTCTGGTGCAAAAGAAGTTACTTTCAGTCCATGGTTGCCTTCTGGATGGCATCCGCGGGCACTGCCCGATGTTCCTCATGTTCCGTCCTTTTCCCACGAAAGACGTGGGTACCGGCCAAATGGACCATGTGTAAGTTAAGCCAAGTACTTTTCGGTCAATCATAGGCGGAGGAGACGCTGGTGACAGGAGCGCACCATTGCATCGAATCTATTGTCATACACACCCTGGATTCGCTATGGGGTCTTCGCTTTTGCAGCGAAGCAAACAGGAACGCCAGAGTGCCCGGAGAAATCCCCCAATTCATCTAGTGCTATCCTCAGAGGCATCTCTGACACAGGTGCTACAAAGCGTTTGGCATTTGGAGACCACTGGCACCTGGCCGGGTGGCCCAGGCTGAGGATCGATGTGCCATGATTCTTAGGTCCGGCAAAACTGGCTGGTGGAAACGAATCCGAATGTAGGGTCCCCAAATCAAAGAGGCCAAGGACATGACGTACCATAGTTTGCAGCATGTGTTGGTGGGGCGGCGTTTTGCGGTGCAGACATGGGAAAATGTGAATGAGCTACTACCGAAAGGGTTCGTATGCTGAGATGGCAGATCACTCCCATGCTTTTTGTTCATGGCCAAGTCGTTGGATGCTCACCCAAATATTTGAGGAGCAAGCGGTTTTGCTGAAAACAACTATCTTTATGTTGCAGGATCGCTTGCAAGGAGGATCTGCCACAGCGTTTGTTTGACACGCAATCTTAAAAGCATTTGAAAGCAACTTGAGCAGCGCCCCAACCTCCTATGGTGGTTGCATCTTGGTGGAGCCAAACAACAACGGGTTTTGGGCGCAGCTCACTCGTGGATATGCAGCTGACGACACAGGCAAGGCCAGCTACGAAGACTCCAGGCATACACTTGGCACGCATGTCTCGACTGGCCTTTCTAGTTATTTTCAGAGCCTACGCTGTGGCTTCCGAGTGGACAAATTGATCCCTTGGCAGGCCAGAACTCGCGCAGCCTGGCCGTCCCAAGGCCATGAGAGAAGAGCGGATGTGGTTGCCTTTCAATTCTACCCCTCTGTGTTTGGGGGGGAGGGTTCGCTTGTGAGACATGCTCAACTTAGCCCAGTGAGCGGAGATTCCGGACAGGGTCAGCTGGAGCATATGGCAGATATCCGGAATTAGGAACTCTTGGCAACTGCAGTAGATGCAAGATTTTGAGGGCTCCCCCTCATGCTTTTCTTCGAATCTGGCTGAGGAGCTGCTGACCAGACTACGGGTCTTGGGCCTGAAGTATGACAAGGTCTTGGCACTAGAGACCAGGCCTCAGAGAAGAGAGCGGAAGGCTCCCAAGGACAAGGCGCCCTTATGGCTGAGCCGACACAAAAAAGATGTCCACCCACATCAGAGGTGTTGTGAGGTGAACAAGGCATGGTCCAGAGGAGCCTTCTCTTTGGATCACCTGATTCTTCACTGATGTTTGGTCGTTGGCAGAGTCCTTTCGAAGTTAGAATGTTTGCATGGGTAAGAAGTCTTTCAAGCAGTGAGCACAAACATCGCAGTAGTGCACTTGGACAAAGTGTTTAACAATGAACGTGAACATTGGTAGCCGCGGGCACTTGGACTTGGGGCTGAAGGGCGACGGCAGTCGCCAGAGACAAAATCTCATGCGGGTCTGTCTTTTTTGAGGGTGCCCTTTTGTTGGGGTTTTGAAAAAAGAAGACGCACCCATGCAACCAGAAGTATAATGTATTGGGAGATTGTTCTCCGCCCTCTTGCAGAGAAGCGTCAGGTGAGGAGGCAAAGTCTCAGGTTGGTTGGAGTTAGCTTACTTTCCAGGAATCGACTGTGTGTTCGGCCCGTATGCAGCATCAGCCTGCATTAGCATTGTAATACAATTCGCCAATCGGATTTATTCATCACAGTTGTCCCTCATTTGACCTTTTGATGTCAAACCCACACACACACGCACGCACGCACGCACGCACGCACGCACTCACATGCACGCTAGCCTTAGAGAGAAAGAGCATCCACCAAACTTGAGGTCTGACTGGCATGCGTGGTTGGGGCCCAGTTGGGCGTGGAACAGTTCAGTTCGCTAAGGCTCGGCCTCGTCGTCACCAGCAGTCTGGACTGATCCCTAGTCCCGCTTGCAGAAAGCGGTTGGTTTTGCACAGGTCCCTGGCGTTGAAAAGTCGCTCGGTGCGTCGAAAGGGACTGGGGGATAGACTCATCAGGATGCCAGGGTTTGAGGATGGCACCAGAAGGGAAAGTGAGGCGTCAAGCTGTGGATACGAGAGAAATGATGCTTGCTTACTCGCGTGTTCTTGACTCCCTTGCTTTTGCATTGCACACCTCATACGTTCTTCCTACAGTAGGTTCACTGCGTTCAGAAACCGTTTGTGCGCGGGGCAAACTGGCACAGAGCACACTTGCTCAAGCACACGTGCACAGAGACACCTGCCGAGAGCAGCTTTGGCAGCATAATAACTCGAACACGGCACACGTGCGCTGGAAACAGCGCATGTTTACCAGGGCTTCTTAAAAGGTACATGTTGCCCATTTGAAACATGTTGTTTCCACCAAAATAGAGGGAAACCACCATTTACAAGGCAATGTTCAGGTGTATCATGTAAGGATCCCTGTTTACAAAGAATACTTGCCTGTAGCAGGCAGGGCTTTCCCTTTGTTATACGCGTTTAGCCTCAAACGAAGGGCCCACTAAAGAGAGGCGTCAGAAACCACGAAGCCGGGCCAGGACGACGTGTTCGAAGCAAGATGCCCTGCATTTGCTGTCCTGGCCTCGGATGCGGCTGCCATGAGACATCACCTCCTGATACACTCAATGTTAGCCGGTGTTTCCCCCCCCCTTTGTTCTTCTTGTCCCATTTGGGTCTGTCTTTTCCTGGGGCCCGAAAAGGAGTGGTGTCCCGTCCGTTTTCCTTAACCCCGAAAAGGGAACTGGAAAGAGGAGCGGATCCCAAGTCCATGCCCATCGCTGGCCGGGTGTGAACGCGGAGCATCAAAATGGATCGAAGGTTCCAATGTTTTCAGCGCGACGCGCGCTCCAGAATTATTTTTGTGAAGTTCTTCCCATTGCTTATGTGAGTGTGAATTGATGGGAGGCCGGCACCAGGCCTTGACAAACATATCCAAAGTCTAGAAGAGGATGTGCCAGTCTCGCCTTTGGTACCCCATCCGCGTCACCGGCAATTGAAGTTCTCAATTATTTTGAATCATGCGGGCGCACAGCGGACACGGTGATTGTGGTCGCCACAACCAGATGTTGCCGAAGTTTGGCGCTGTTGGTGTTCAGGATCGTTCTCCAATACTACTAAGGGCGACAACTGGCCGCTTTTGCTGCTGCAGCCTGGGCCCTTTCCTGATGTTGTCAGGTCTTTGCAAGGTGGTTAAGTGACATCAATTGGCTCAATGTTGACGATGCATTCTCGTGCTGCTCTTTAGCTGCATGTGCACTCAGTATGTTGAAAGCATGCCGCTGTATTTGATGTCTCCGTTGAAGATATGCCAGTTGTGTTTCCGTGTGAAGCGCCCAAGTTGCCGCAATGCAGAGCAAAGGCCATCGAAAGATTTGCTGCGCCGGATCAGCAGGGAGCTTGGGCAAGACATGGGCAAGCGTCAGGGGGAGAAGTTGGCAATAGCCCCAAGTGGATTTAAGTATCTCAAGCCCCAACTTGTATTATACGATTGAATTACTTTAGAGTCTCCGGCTCATTCTGCCGCTTCTGGTGCGCTCGGCGCCCCGAACCCCCCGCGAACGGCACACCATCGCACAACCCCAGAAATACCATTGAACACTGACAAAGGACGCCCGAACCCAACCACCGCTTGCGCGCAGAACCCCACAAACGCGCACCTCGCCCACCACGCCCGCGCCGAGGAGCACAACCGCGAGAAGCCACAAACCCCATGCAAAAACGCACACGTCACCCACCGCGCCGGCCTACAGCCCGCACACAAAAACACGCACCTCAGCGACCACGCCCACGCCCAAGAGCACAATCCCTCGAAAAGCCACAAACCCCACAATAAAACGCACGCATCACACACCACGCCGGCGCCCCAAAGACCGGTGAACACAGAAAAAAAGCCCAAACCTAAGCGCGCGGAACCCTAGAACACCCAGAAACATCCCATCGTCACCAACCCACGCCAGCGGGCAAGAGCCCCACTCGTGGTGCCAGGCTGGGAAGTGAAAAAAGATGGAACGTCGCAAAATTGCCGCACAGCTCGTGCCCCACCCCCCCTCCCCCCGTGCCCCACCCCCCCCCCCCCGGATGTCAGCGCGCTAGTCGTAATTTCCTAGCTGAGTTGTACATTCAATGTCCATCAGAACGTTGCCATTGATGAACTTCAGGACTTCAGGAGATCAACTTTGACAAGAACATGACAGATGACACTCCTTAAATTGTCGAGAGGCGCCTGCGGGTAATCACACGGATATCAGACTTCCGCGAATGAGTGAACATCCGTTTGGAACCCAGAATTCCTCAAGTCTCATTGAAGAATATGAGTTCTACTATGTTTAGTCCGTGGCAACAAGCAAGCAAGAGTCGAGCTTCTGGCACCGCACATTCCGACAACGCTTCCAGCTGGAGCACCACCTTTGGTATGTTTAGGTGATTCTTTGGCACTGAGGCCAACATTAGCGACCTTGAGTACGACCAACCAACGTCCGATTGCTTGGCCACTACGGGAAGGACAACGTTTACAAAGAAGGTCCAAAGTTCAGTTGGAACTCGATTGCCACCGTGCACCATTGTCAAGGGCTTCGGACACAACAAGGAAATCATTACCATTCACTAGGAGAAGAAAGATGAGATCCGAGGCGCAACCCCCTTGGCGCTACCTGCATATGTCTCGCCGCGGCGGAGTATACCTGGACTTCAAGTGCGGATTGCTTCGGCCGCTCTGGAGCTGGCTCCTCGAGCTACAGGAGTCCTGCATGGAGCATGAGCTGGTGCGCCAGGGCGAAGCCCGGGCTAGCGGTTTCTATCCTCCGTTCAACTTCCAATCCCAAGGAGCACTACGACAATCGCCGCACCACAAGAGCTGGACTCCCATAGGCGACAGTTAAAGTTTTTCACACCCATCCAAGCATCAGGAATGGAGCAGCAAGGGATGGTTTTCAATTTGGAATAGAGGTGCGATGTGCTCATTGGAGATGGGCGTAAGTTTGCGAACACCTACAGCAGGCATCAACTCGTATATCGTCCTGACCATGGCCTTCTGAGCTACATGATCAAGCAATACCAGATGACCTGGAACGACACCGTTGGATTTCCCATGGAGGACAGACTGGGCTGCACAATAAATTCTACATGTACTGTGCAGCAGCAGTTCAGGAAGAACGAATTGAAAGTACGGATCAGCTGGAGCAAAACGGATAGTGACACACTGTCCATGATTACCGATTACAAGGTGACATCAGACATCAGAACAACGATTCAAGCGAATGGCTCGTGTGACTCAGAATCACACAGTCCGCTGATGACTTGCATCAAGAGCCGCATTGAAGATCGTGAGAGGAACTACCAGAAGTCAAAGGAGTACTACCGCAAGAAGACGGCGCAAGCACGTTGAGCCCTGCCAGCGCAGCTCATGTGTGAAGCAGCACCTTAGACTGGATCACTAGCCCGGGCTAAACAAGGCTGCGGAGTGAAGCAACGCAAAGACTGGCCGAGCACATGGCAGGCGCGCAAGAGAGTCTAGCCGAGGCGACACGGCGTGGCCGGACACAAGGGCCCAGTTCTGCGGCTGAACGGCGGTGCAGCCGGCGGCATGGCGGAAGCGGCGGCGAAGCCAAGATGGCGCGAGACCAGTGGCTCGGCGAGGCCGGTAGCGATGGAACTGAGACGGTGGCTTGGCGGCCCTGAGCCAAGGTCAGCGACGAGGCGGGGCCAGAGACTGGCGGAGCCGGCATGCCATCGGAATTGGAAAGACAAGGGCCACAAGTCATGGAAAGACTATGAGCATGGCAGCGCATCCGACACGTGTCAATCTACAATCTACCATCCGAAAGAGAGAGCACCGAACACGTCCACTACGAATTCCAACAGATCGGTCCTCACCATCAACCAGACCTTCCAGCGAGAGGCCAATAGTTTCGCACCGTTTGGATACATCTAGGTATCCACCGCCTGCCAAAAAGCGGCTCCTTTTGACACAACTAGGTATCCGCGTGTGCACAAACCTTTACCAGCTCATCACAGGCGAAACAGTTTCCATCCGAGACAAAAAGAGGATGAAGAATTAGTTTTCAATTTTGACATGATATACAATATTTGTCGCCAATCTATATTGAGTAGGCTACGGCATTCAAACAAGTTTCGAATGGCTACGGTCAAAGGCCATGAAGCCAGCGTTTCATTAGTTATTCAGTGCTGGAGATCAAAAGAACTTTGTCCAGGCGACCGTTTGGCGCAAGGCCCCTCTTCTACTCTTGACTGCCACTGTACACACACCATTCACGCACAGGCAGAGAAAAGGGATTTCTTGCGGACCGACCCACAAGACAAGCCAAGCCTACTAGGGACTTTCAGACACGCTCCATCACCGTTGGCACTGCGAGCATCGTG